AAGAACTTAACTGTTATTCTGTTGCATGCATGTGCGCCATATTCCGCGTAAATGGATTTATACAGAGTATACGTATCCACAATTCACCCTCTTCGCTTTTGGCGGCGGCAGCACACTGTCAATCAAATTGTATGGTAGTCCCGGGCTGTGGCCAAAGGAAGCGGGCACCGCATGCCAAGAGCAAGAGATTTATGGCACTAACACAGCCATACTGCAGCATGTACATACATACATACATGCGTATGTATGCATATGTAGTTGCAAGTGAAAAAGGAAATTTAATTTGCCATGCTTTCTTTGCTGCCGTACAGTTTTTTGCAGCATTGGCTAAATAATAACGCAAATCATGTCCTCGAAATAAATAAAAAATAAAAAAAAAAAAATTATAAATTTAAAACGATGCCATTTCATGCCAAATTTATATTCCATTTCTGCAGTGCGAATCCAATTGGCGGCCATTTTGTTTATCTGTTCGTCTTGTTCATATATTTTATCATAAGTTTGCCTTTCCTTTGTATGCATCGAACTAATAAGTCTGTGTTTTTCTGCATTTAATTAAAAATACTTATAAAAATATAATGGTAAATTATAGAACGCTTCGTTTGAAGTGGAAACGTGTTAATTGACATTTTGCTCATTGCTTAAATTCGAAATGAGATGTTATTTAATTTATTGCATTTCTATTGTGTTTTGATTTTCTTTTGGGTTCGCTGAATTGCGAATCGTTGATTAAATGCTTATGGCCCATGGCATCATACCAAGTCATAAATAATACAATATATTTAAATGTACAAAAAAAAAAGGCAATCGCTTATCAGTCTGTTGAATTTGTTAATTTCAATTATGCATAAAATTAGTTTATTGCCCCTTGGCATTTGAAATTTGTTTCTGACAGATTTCAAACAAACATACACACATGTATACATAGAATATTGTTCTGCTCGAAACTATAAAAAATAATATAGCAAAAGACACTGTCACACAGACAGAGATTTCAATTCAGCGCCTAGACCAATAAAAAACAAGGGTATAAAAAGAATACATATACTATATGTATGTATAATCGTTTCTTATCAGCATTCAAGTAGGAAATAAATTAGTCGCGGCATACAATCTATATATGTATATATATATATATATATATATTCATATTTAATCGCAGCATTGATATGATAGGCCCTTCAGCATCGTATATTTGAGCTATTTATAAATGTATATATATTTTTATAAATATATATTTCGTTGCGATTTAGCAAAATATTATTTTTAATTAGTTATAGTTAGTTAAAGTTTGTTAATTGCTCCTGTAATTGGATTTGCATGCATCAGTGCATTTTAGGTGAACCTTTAACGATTTTATATAATTTATATGTGCATACAAATGCGGCAGGCCTTTGGCAAAAATTTAATTGCCAAAGGAAACTCGAAGCGGTTTCTGTCAAAGCGTATGTTTTATATTTTATTTAATTTGTTGTTGTTGTTGTTGTTGTTGTGCAAAATTTCGCAGAATTAGAAAGCGTCAGATAAGTGCGTAAATAAAGGCATTTGACTGCATTGGCAACTGCTCCAACTCCATTTGCTGGAGCATTCTGTAATTTGTTTATCGGCCGTCGCAACGGCGGCTGCTGCGGGAACAATGGCCGCCACTGTATTCGGCAATTTCCCAGAATTTATGAATTATAATTTCGCTTTATAGACAATTTTAATTGAGCTTTTTATGGTCTGCGCCGGGCCATGCGCCAGGGGCAGCCCTCATCGCCCTCAAGGGCTGCTCAGCTCAGCTCTCTCAGAAAAAGTGTTGGATTTCAGTGCAAACAGAGCCATTTGTTAGCCATTTGTACCCGCTACCGATAGCGACTTCCGCTGCCTCAGGACCCGCAGAAGGACTCTAATGACAGCCCGCAGCGATTCATAAAACCAAAATCCAACTGCAAATATTGGCCGGGCAGGGCTGGCCCTGACAAAAGCAAAGGCAAAACAACAAAAAATGAGTTTATGATTTTTTAAGCTGTTTGCCAGAGCTCTTCACATTTCGTAGGTGTATTTGCCTTTCATTAACAGAAGCCAGCGCGGAGCTACTTGGATCAGTAGTTCGCGATCTGTGCTAGGCCCAGCTTCCGTCTTGTTTGTCTTGATTAGCTCGGTGACTAGTGGAAATGCCAGGATACGGATGCTCATTAGAGACAATGTAGCGACACTTTTATAGACATCAGCGCAAACATGGTCTAGAGCGTGCATTTAAGTAGCCCAAGCCCATTTTATTTTATTTTTGTTTTTTTCTTGTGCGTAACTTAAAATTAAATAAACAATAATACATGCATGTCTACGTAGTGTGTCGTGGACTCTCTACACTCGAAGGTTTCCGAGAGCAAACAAACACGCAAAATAAACCCAACGGCAACGGGCAAACACTTCAGTTGCATCCGAGCTGGGAGCTGCCCTGGGTCTGGCCTGGCCCTCAGATCGTAACCCTGTGATCGTAACCGACGCGACTCTCGAATTTGGAATCCTCAACGGCGGTGGCATGTTTGCACCTTTAATAAGACCAACACCAGGCAACATAAAATCCAATGCCGACGGCAACCTAGACACCGGGTCATTGTGGCACGATCGAAGGGTCACCGACGGCGACGGCGACGCGACGCGACGGTAGCTCATAGTTAAATCTTTGTGGACTCTGACTTAAGTAGTATTTACTTTCTGCACGCCCATTGCAATAGAATCTTGAAATACATATGTATTTACTTTGTTTTCAGATATTGTTTTTGTGCCTCTCTCTCTTGTACTTCTTGTTATTTTAACAAGATCATCCCACATTTAACAGTTGAACGTTAAATTCGATCGACAAAAAAAACTATAGATTTTTTAACTGGAGAAAACTAAGCAATAATTTATCTAAATTTGTTTTGATGGAATAGTAGCACGTCGCAAAAATGTTTTTTGCAAATAAGTTCTTGACTCATCTTAAGCCCCAATCCAAGGCGAACCATGGGCTATTTAATTGTAGCGTTAATAGCAAAAATACGTGACTAATTTGCCGGCGACTCTCTGCCAGACGGGCTGAGCGGATCCCCGGATGTTGTTATGGCTATTGGTCACAAATCAGAAGTCAACATATAAATTTAAGCCTGAGCTGAAGATCAGCATTAGAGAGCCAAGTGATAAGCTAGAAACTCTTGATAGCTCGGGAAGGGCTCCAATTTTTCGGGCTAGTAAGCGTGCCATCCTTATCAGCCGGCATAATTCAATATCATTATTAACAATGCAACTTTGGCGCCCATTAATCTTTCATAATTGCCGAAAATTGATGTCATGCGTATTTGAAAAGCCATTAAAATGACGCAGTAAACATTGATCTAAAAAACGAAACAAACAGAATAGAAATACGCACAGCATCATTCATTGGGGCAGACAACTAAAAGTATTTGTGGAGACAAATTTATGAACGTTTAGCACAAAAGTCAAGCACTCGAAGATAATGTTGTTGAGCAGAGCAACAAATTGCAGCTATCACTGCGGATGCCACGAATGCCTGGCCAGACGGGGATCGAGCACAGATACCGACGGATCGAGGCAGACAAAATACAACAACAAAAAACGAGAAAGAAGGGCTATCTTCGGCACGCCGAAGATTTAATACCCTTGCAGACCCAACCTTTTCATAGTGCTTTGCCCGTATCTAAGAAGCACAGGGAAAATAATTAATGCAGAGTATGGTTAAGATATCTTGAAAAACAAAAGAGTTTTTCATGCAACAACTTAATTTCCGACCGATCGTTCCTATGGCAGCTATATGACATAGTAGTCCGATGTTGATAGGATTTCTCATATACATGAGGAGCATAGTAAAACTTATTAATGCAAAGTATGGATAAGATATCTTAAAAAACAAAAAAGTTTCCATACAACAGCTTAGTTTTCGACCGATCGTTCCTATGGCAGCTATATGATATAGTGCTCCGATCCAGCCGATTCCGACATATTTACTGCGTGCAACAGAAGAAGCACTTCTGCAAAGCTTGAAAGCTGAGAGACTTGTCTATATCTACTCTCCGTCTATGGGTAACATATTGTATGACAAACTTATAATACTCTCTGCAAGAGTATAAAAAGAAGAAAGAACCGCAGCCAAATCCGGGTAAGGGAACATTTGTCGAATGTGTATGATCTTTGGCGTTACTTGTTGCCGCGTTGGCATTGAGAAAATTTGCTCCTGTGTGGCTCTGTCGTACGTGGGCCCCCCTTTTGTAACTCAATTCGAAAATAATTAACGATCGCGAGATTACAAATGTCAAACATAATGTCAAGTTGGGCTGCCTTCGTATCACATTCGCTGTCACTGGGAAAATGCCAGGCAAAATGTTCAAAGACGACAAATTCACAGATACATAAAGAAAAACCACCGAGCCTGAAGCTGAATGAAGCAGCTACTCCACACTCCACACTACACACTCTGCAGTCCCAGTCCCAGTCCCAGTCCCATTGCCAGACCCACTCCCAGATCCAGACCCAGACCAGACGGCAATGCGTGTGGGTCTGCGGCGAGCGCCAGCCGATTTGTTGTGACTTATGTCAAAACAATTGTGTTACATCTTGATGCGCTCCTGAAGTGGATGCTTAAGACTGAGATTTGTGAATCTGATTATAAGAGCTCGAAAGTAATTACATGGCTTAAATTATGGTGTAATATATGTTGAATGCTAAATGGACCGAAAATTAAAATATATATTCATTATATATTTATATACTATTATATATATTAGCTAGATCGGAAAGCTTGAGTGGAAAATACTCAGAACAAATAAAAATTAAGATCGCAAACGTAACTAAAACTTTAGTTTAAAATTATCAAATATGTTTGCCTTTTCGTTATAGAAAGTATATAGAAAATGATTCTTGAAACATTTATATTTGAGGTCCTTTTTTTTAAGTAAGAGAAAAATGAGAATATTTTCTAAAATTTAGAAAAACTTTCAATTTGTTATTTGATAAATGTTTTCTACGAATTTATATTATAATTTTTTATTTTTTTAGTTTTTTAAATATGAGAAAAACTTTTGTAACAAGAAAGTTTGTTTTCTAAAATGTAAAGAAATTTCTATAGCTTAGTTTTTTTTGGTAAAAAGAAAGAGTTTTAACCGTTTACCAAGATGCTTAAAACAGCACTAAGCAAATGTGTTTCAGCTTAGTTCGTATACCAAATCCCTTTAAAGAAATCTTAATCGTAAGTGCATATACCAGTTGGAAACACCTTTGAGTCGTCAGTGGAAAAGGGCGTGGTTAATAAACAGGTAGAAATATTTTAATTAACCGTCAGTTGGGGCTGGAGCTGGGGCTGCAGCTGTGTCAGGAGCTGGAGCTGCAGCTGTGTCAGGAGCTGGAGCTGGGGCAGAAGCTGGGGCCGGGGCTGCAGCTGGAACCGGGGCTGGAGCTGGTGCTGGTGCTGGTGCTGCAGCTGGGGCTGTGGCCGGAGCTTGAGGTGGAGTTTGAGCTGCAGATGGTGCTGGAGCAACGCCTCCCGCAGGGGCAGCACCAGCCGCAGCTGGTATAGGTGCAACAGCTGCGGGTGGTGCTGGCGTGGGTGCAACCGTTGCGGGACCGCCTGTGGCATTGGCCTGGCCCACAATAACCGTACAATTGCGACAGATTACTGTAAAGTTATATAGAGATATAAATAGTTATATAAAGAGGCCAAGCACAATGTCGCCCAAGTCATACAATACTCCTTCGAATCGCTTTCGTCGCTCTCATAGTCCCCGAATATGCCTGAGATCCAGTCATAAACATCGTTTTTCTGCAAAGCTAATTGACTTAGTCGCGAATCTCAGTCGAGCTATAAAGAAAAACAATACCGTTCTTGCTGCACGTTCCTCGGCAGGATTGGCATGCGCTGCCCGAGACCACAGCGCCAGGACTATATGGAGCAAAACAATAAGTTTAGTTCCAACAGGCATCTTGACTTTAACTGACCTGCGAGCTGGCCGAGACATCGGCTTTTATAGACAGCCGCCCAAGTGGAGCGCACGGAGTGCACTGTTTTTGTAACGTGCTTGGAACACACTAAAAGTAAATAGTAAATGCTTTTATGATGCAACAATTAGAATTATGTGCGGTTTTTACACGAGCTCAACTACTGCCTCGCCTACAGATCCAAGCATATCTGTATCTGTATCTGCATCTGTCTGTAAGGCTGTCGAGGCGTATGCTAGAGCTATTCCCAATGCGAATCAACTTTGTTGGGAGCACCGGCTAGTTTATTTATGCAGCTGCACGTTTCGCTTGGCCCATTTGTCTGGCGAATGGCCCCAACTGCGGATTACAACAACAACTGATCGAAGTGCAATTGACAAATGCGCAAATGCATAACCATAAAGTACACGAAATTCGATGCAGTCTGTTGATGCCGCTTCAGTTGGGGCAACAAGTGTCTGAAGGGTTTCCAATTTGAATTTTGTAACACGAGACTCTGCAACAGTCCAGCACACACACACACACACACATTATTTTAATTATGGCAATGGGGAGCGCCTCGTTAAAGTACTAGCTACAATATTTCAGTTATGAATGAAAACCAATCGAGGTCGATACACTTGTTTGTTAGTTCCTCAGACGGCTTCATCTCCCTCCATCTCCGATTCCTTGGCCTTTGTCCGGCTCCTTCCCGAGTTCTTGCACTTGCAGTTGCACTTGCGGCGCGTGTAACCCGGCAGCCCTATTGTGATTTTTATGGCGCTCTTAGGGGCACTTCTGCTGGCCCTGTACGTGTTCTTAGTTAAAGTTGTACTTCTTGCTGTTGCTGTGTAACCTGAGGCTAACTACATGATTCTAAATTGGACGACGCAGATGTGCGAATTTTCTTAAGTGATGGTAATAACTTGGCATTGGCTTCGGGGCAGAGGAGCAGGTGCTCCAACCCATAGAGAATTATTGCTATATCAACTATTTTCATATAACAACATCTAAAACAAAGAGAATTCCAAATATTTATTTGAAATGAAATTACATAAAATATTCAACATTTTGTTTGCTTTTAATTTGAAATTAATTCGAAATGAAATATGGAAATAATTATATTTTAATGGGGAAACAAAACTTTGCCCAGATTTAAATAAACAAAATATTAATTTATTTTTTTGTTAATTGAAATAAGTAATTCTCAGGGTTTTCGATAGATCCGTGCAGTTAGGTAAAGGGACAGCTCCGGCTAATCATTGCGTCGACATACAAAATGCATTTCCGCACGTTCGCCGCATTTATATAGCTTTTTTCTTTCTATGCCGCAATCTTTAGCATGATTCGCACACACACACACACACCCACACCCGCATCCGCAGTTCTGGGAAGCAAACTGTAGCGATTTTCAGGCGAACCAGAGGTCCATAGACCCCAATCCGCTCCCGGCTTCCCAACCGGAGCTAATTAGACGCAAATGTGCTTTTGTTCGCCCTCTCGTTAGCTCCTCTTGTTGTTGTTGTTGCCTTTTCTATGCTCACACACACACATGCACACATATTTATACAGTGCTCTCTGCTTCATCTCCTTTCAGAGTCGCAGTGCCCGCAGTACGGCGAAGTGAATCAGCTGGGCGGCGTCTTTGTGAACGGCCGGCCGCTGCCGAATGCGACGCGCATGCGGATCGTGGAGCTGGCCCGGCTGGGCATCAGACCCTGCGACATATCGCGCCAGCTGCGCGTGAGTCACGGCTGTGTTTCGAAGATATTGGCGCGCTACCACGAAACGGGCTCCATACTGCCGGGCGCCATTGGCGGCTCGAAGCCGCGTGTCACCACACCCAAGGTGGTCAACTATATACGGGAGCTGAAACAGCGCGATCCGGGCATCTTTGCCTGGGAGATACGCGATCGCCTGCTCAGCGAGGGCATATGCGACAAGACGAATGTGCCCAGCGTGAGCTCCATTTCACGCATACTGCGCAACAAGCTGGGCAGCATTGGCCATCATCATAGTGCTGGTAATGGTGGATCCGCATCCCTGGGCATGGGCAGCAACGGCAGCAGCGGCACAGGCGGCAACGGGAACGGTGCAGCCAATGGCAGCGCCGTTCAGCACACACACTCCGCGCACCAGCATCATTATCATCACCAGCATACGGCAGCCGCGGTGGCGGCCAGTGCACATCATGCGCACGCCCACGCCCATCTGTACAATTCCATCTACCAGCCGTATACCGCGGCGGCTGCCTATAGCATGAAGGCCGTCTCCTGCGGCAGTCCCTCGCCGCCGCAGTCGGCGCAGACGCATCAGCTGCGCAGCGTGGCCGCCGCCCACTGGCCCTCGTCGCACTCGGTGACCGACATTCTGGCGCATCACCAGGCCGTTGCCCTGCGCGCCAGCTGCCAGGGCAACACAGTCTCTCCGCTGCCGATGACGCCGTCGCCGGTGACCGCCGCCACCGGCGGACAGCCGCTGCTGGACTGCGAGGGCGGAGCGGCACAACAGCCGCCGTACAACTACTATATGTACTTTCAGAATGGCGGCATGCATCATCATCATCACCACGGAGGCATGATGACGGCCGGGGCAACTGGCTTATGAGGCGACGGCTTCCAGCTCCCAGTTCCTCCTGGACCGGTTGATGTAAGTTGGACAGATTTCGAATCGTGTCCAATTGTAAGTAACTGCAGCTCGAATTGTTAGTCAGGCATGTGTGAAGGGTTTAACTACGATATATCTATATATATACATAATCATATATGATACATATACGAGAATATAGTGTAAGGCTTACTCTAAGGTCCGTACGCCAATGTCCAGCTCGCACATAACACTAACAACTCCCATATAAGAATTGATCAAAATAGGGTTTAGTTAGACATTGGGCAAAGGGTCTAAATGATTTTAAAATAATAGATAGGTGTAGTACAGGTGTGCGCCATGGAGCTCTCTGCTTAAACGAATTTTATGTAATTTGGAGATTTTCTTTTTTTTTTTTTACATTTATAGGCAACTTTGTAATTGTTAAAAAACAAAAATAAAGTATTGAGTTGTGTTATAAAATGTAAAAACTTTATTAAACCTAGGTTCTTGTTCTCATAATTATTTGTACATTATGCTCTTTAAGTATATACTAGTTGACTAATTTATGCCATAAAACTCAAAACGAAATTTTATAAATAAAATTGTTTTTTTTTTCAAGCAAAATATTAATGCCACTTTTATAATAACTTTGCGGTAAAGTGGGCTGACAAGAAACATGCTCGGACTGAAGGCGTGGCGCTTCAATCAAACTTAAAAAAAAAAAAAAACAAAAAAAAAATACTAGTTGCAGGCTTATTTTAAATCTTGAAATACATACATATTGTGCTGTAAATATATATGTGAGCCTTAGCTGAATATAGTTTGTTCAAGGGCAACACTCGCTCTCTTGCGGATCTTTCTTGATCCAACCAAAGAAAAAGTAACCCACGCCCAGACCCAAAACCACGGACAAGCACAGCCAATAGTTGAAGTTCATGAATACCAACATGAGCAAATAGGAAATGATAATTTGCACCAGATTCAACAGAGATTGGATTATGTGCGGCGTGTTGAAAATGCGTTGCCAATATGTCTTCTCCCTGATTTCAGCCAGTGGCGTTTCCGAGCAGCCGCCTCCGCAGTCGTTCATACTGTTCTTCTGACGCAGCTCCGCTGCCAGCTCAGCCTCCCTGCGCGCCTCTCGCCGAATTAGTTGCTCACGCAGAAACTTGAGCAGCTCGTAGAGAAAAGAGAGCACAAAAAATGCAATGCAGGAGAAGGCGAACTCGGTAACTGTTGCTGCCACCCAGCCACGCCACAAAATTCGCTCACAGTGGCCGCCATGGAACTGTTGAGAGAGGAGAGACATAACATTGATCACAGGGTGACACAGGTAAACTAGATTATACATGATAGCTAACAGATTACTACATGCATTCCTATCGCCAGAGCACCCGGTATTTCTTAATATCTGTGCATTGCTCAACAAAGCTCTTCGAGTTGAGAGAGTGTGAGAGTGAGAGTGCGAGCTAAATTTTAGCATCACAGCAAAACAATTGTTTGCATGTATTTGTACCTGCGCAGAGAGTGTGCGAGATGTGCTCTGAGTGTGATCTGGTGAATGCGAACTAAATTAAAATAAATCTCGGCACTCGCTGCTGAATGCAAAGGAGAGCGACATTAGTTACATCTACAGCAAATAAATTGGAAAGCAGACGGATATATATACGCTCAACCCCTATAATTGTTGTTGCCATAAAAAGCTGCAGCTGCAGTGAGTGCAATGGGATAAGGCTTTAGTATGATACTTACCACCATGATCATTGGGCAAGATTTGGCAGCGGTAACAGATTCTGATCCATGATCATCATGGTCCATGGTCATCAAGTCCATTGTAATTGGATTTTGAATACAATTCAATTAACCGCCAAGTGAAAACGAACGTTAAGTGCCTGAGCCTGAGTGATAACAGCGTTGACACTTGCTTAACTGCTGAGAGCGAAACGTTGACTGCTTGGAACAGACGAACGTATGCTGTTTTTTAAAGAAAACCTGACACTAATCCCGCCAAGGCGATAGCCGGTGCGCTTATCTCTGAGAAATATGCGTTATCAGCAAGCGCGGAGTGCAGGCGGCGATATCATCGATAGCGCGCATGCGAGGAGAGCCCAACGATGTTGACCCCATTGAGTAACAGGTGTGTGGGAGAGAGAGCGACAGAGAGCGCAACTGAGATGGAAACCCAAATGTTAATGATAGTCCATCTATTTATCTGTTGCAGATCTGCATGCTGTGCAGCTGGCTGTGATCTGGCCTGGATACTTGGTAGAGCGTTAAACTAGTATTTTTTCTTGAGCAAATTCTATTTCAATATTGATTTATGGATTTTCTGAAGTTCACAAGAGTGGTAATTAAGATTATTGGTAATTGGCCAAAGTATTTATTTTATTGTACGCAGCCAAGTATGTTCCCATGTATGTGCATATTTCTCGGGCGATAGCAACCGTCGACGAGCGAATTTGCTCGATGTCTGCATTAGGCCCTCTTGGCTTTGCTAATGTTTTGTTTCTAACTGGTGCAGAATTGCCTTTGGATGATGGCCGTGCGCAAAAACTCTACGGCCGTGTGCAAAAGTTACGGTTATTCTTAGTTGCCGTGCGCAGATTTCGAAAGATTGGTGGCGCGTGCAAAATAAACGGTAAACGATATTGGCTTGGTCTAAATGGTTGCGTTATTGAATAGTACATTGGTTAAAGCTATTAGCCAAAACTTCAAAAGCTTCAACTAAATTTATATGTACTAGAACAGGCATTCAAAGTGCATAAGCATTTAAAGTGGTCCAGTTGAAATTATTTGTTTGATGCTTTTCATCTTTTTATGGTTTATCCTGGTAGAAGTTCACAAGTCCTGGATTCTCATCATAATTTATATTTTATCATTTTACCTACATAGGTAATCATGAGATTAACTATAATTTCTGCCTTCTGTAATGACAATTTGGTTAAGTTTCTTGACAATCAGTAGCGGGTATGGACTGTGGAACTATTTTGTTGAATTTCTAAAGGTTTACATAGTTGTCTTAATACTAAAGAACTTCCTGTTACTCTGAGAAACGTATACAATTTCAAAGTCTATACAAAATTAAAGATACTGAAAGATTGGTTCTCGGAAATTAGATCTTCCTCAATCCTTTCCAATGACCTATAAGCCTAAAATGCATAATTACTATTTTAAAAATTATATTTATGTCTAGAATTATGTATTCGAATTAGAGAACGTCCATCATAATCTGTTTAGAGCGCGTGATTTGAAATCTTGTTTTTAGCCTTACCATACTGATGTAAAACGTTTATAATTCAATGATGTGGCAGCATTCAAAAAGCAAGCAGCAGTGTGACAACGCAGTTGCTTATGCAGAAGTAGGTATATTTTTCAGAATATCGTATATAGCATTAGGTAAACTATAAGTTAGCTTGATATATAAACAGCGATAGCGATATTTGCTTAAATTTGTTCAAAATTTGCATTTGATGCTGGCTAAAAATGTATGATCATGCTAACGATAACGCCAGTATTGTTTATTTTCAAATGACGATATATCGATACGATATCGGAATACCCCTATGCAAAGCCCAAGTCTAGAGAAAGAAGTTCTTGCCAAATTTACCATACAGTCATTCTGTATTAGATAGATTCTAACTGCATATATCAATGTGTACATTATTCCAATAAGAAACCCACTAAGCACAGCATTAATATGTTTGCGTTACGACATTTGCGACTACAGGGCAGGGCTAAACTGTATTTGCCATACGCTGCAGCAGCAGCAACAACAACTGTAAAACACATGCCAGCTGTGCCGGCGCGTGTCTACATTGGGCTGCACACACACGCCAGTGACTGCCGCAAGCAGAGACTGCTGATGCTTCAGGAGCACATGGCTAGCTGGAGGCTGCATCAAAGAACTACGACAACAGTGTCGGAGTCTTCAGGCCCGGAAAGCAAGGCGCCGTACAAATCATCGCTTCTACAGGAATTGGCTGCCGCCACTAAGCCATACGCACAGCTGATGCGCATTGATCGGCCTATTGGGACGTACCTACTCTTTTGGCCCTGCGGCTGGAGCATTGCGCTCAGCGCTGATGCCGGCTGCTGGCCGGACTTTACCATGCTGGGTCTGTTTGCCACGGGCGCGTTGATCATGCGCGGCGCCGGTTGCACCATAAACGATATGTGGGACAAAGACATCGATGCCAAGGTGGAGAGGACGCGCACACGTCCGCTAGCTTCTGGGCAAATCACGCAACTCGATGCGATTGTGTTTCTCTCGGCGCAGCTTAGCCTTGGCTTGCTAGTGCTTGTGCAGCTCAATTGGCAATCCATATTGCTGGGCGCCAGTTCGCTGGGCCTAGTCATTACGTATCCACTGATGAAGCGTGTCACCTACTGGCCGCAACTTGTGCTCGGCATGTGCTTCAACTGGGGCGCCTTGCTGGGCTGGTGTGCTACTCAAGGTAGCGTCAATCTGGATGCCTGCCTGCCATTGTACCTATCTGGTGTTTGCTGGACCATTGTCTATGACACCATCTATGCGCACCAGGACAAGCTGGATGATTTGCAAATTGGCGTAAAGTCCACAGCGCTACGTTTTGGAGAGAATACAAAAGCTTGGCTCGCGGGTTTTACGGCTGCCATGCTGGCGGGCTTGTCGGCGGCCGGCTATGCCTGTGATCAGACACTGCCCTACTATGCCGCAGTTGGGGTCGTTGGAGCACATTTAGTGCAGCAGGTGCGCGTTCTTTGGACTAAATACATTGACTTTCGAGTAAACTCGCACTTTTTTACAGATCTACTCACTCAACATAGACAATCCCAGCGACTGCGCCAAGAAATTCCTTTCGAATCATCAAGTGGGCCTCATCCTGTTTCTGGGCATTGTGCTGGGCACTCTGTTGAAGTCGGAGGATAACAAAAGACAGCGCAAAGCATCGACAGCGCCCGCAACTACTCCCGCATATGTACCCTTACCGCAATCACAGCCAGACGTTATAAGCTGAAATGTTTTATGGTTGTGATGTTAATTTAATTTTCATCCAACATTTGCGCTTTCTTTTCGCACTAGACCAAAGTCTGTAGTTAGCTAAATAGTTTAATTAATGTATATGGTTTTATTTTGTATTTGTAATTTTAATGGTATTCAATGCAGATTGCTATGACAATATTAATACCTCGGGAAAAGTCAAAGAACGTTTCATTTTTGCACGCTTTCATACTTAACGACCTTCAACCTTTGCAAACGAACCGGTTTCTGTATTAATGCTTAATCGTTAGTTTTAATTACAAATACAGATTATGATGTTTGTGTGTTGTAAGACAAATACTCTTCATGTGTATTCTTTTCAGCTAAGAGAAATTGGTTGAAGTTGTACATAAGTGAAATAAACTAGTTAGTAGAAATGAAAATTATATTAAATCTGCCACATTCATCGGCATCTCGTCGATTTGCGTTGAATAATATTGCTCAATATCACGCAAAATGCGTATATCATCGGACTTTACAAAGTTAATGGCCACACCCTTGCGTCCAAATCGACCCGAGCGACCGATGCGATGAATGTACAGCTCACGATTGTTGGGTAGATCGTAGTTGATGACCAAGGACACCTGCTGCACGTCTATGCCACGCGCCCACACATCGGTGGTAATGAGGACACGTGACTGTCCAGCTCGGAACTCTTTCATGATTTCGTCACGTTCCTTTTGCGGCATATCGCCGTGCATGGAGCTGACCGTGAAGTTCGCTTCGCGCATCTTCTCAGTCAGCCAGTCCACCTTGCGCTTGGTGTTACAGAAAATGACCGCCTGTGTGATGGTCAGTGTGTCATAGAGATCGCATAACGTATCGAATTTCCATTCCTCGCGCTCCACGGCCACAAAAAATTGTTTAATGCCTTCCAGCGTCAATTCATCACTGCAATGGAAATGGGTTTAAAATAAGATACGAATGTATTTACTTCTTATTTTCTTTTTACCGTTTGACCAAAATTCGAATAGGATCCGTCATGAATTTAGATGTCATTTCCAGAATCTCATGCGGCAGGGTAGCAGATATGAGCACCACCTGCGTAGCTGGCGGCAAATACCGGTAAACATCATAGATTTGTTCCTTGAAACCTTTGTTCAACATCTCATCCGCTTCATCGAGCACCAGCATTTTGATCGCTCTACGGGATTCACACATGTTAGATATGTAAGCATGGTAGGTCATCAAATAAAGAGGTAAAACCTTACCTTGTGCGCAGAACACGCCGCTTGATCATATCGAAGACACGACCCGGTGTTCCACTCACAATATGCTGACCGTAATCCAGCTTGCGTATGTCCTCGCCCAGATTTGTACCGCCAATGCACACATGACACTGTACGTTCATCATATCGCCCAGAGCAAGAATGACCTTTTGGATTTGGACAGCCAACTCGCGTGTGGGTGACAGACACAGCACCTGGGTCTCACGCAGCGTTGTGTCCAGGCTCTGTAGTATGGAAATGGAAAATGTGGCAGTCTTGCCCGTACCGGACTGCGCTTGGGCTATGACGTCCCGCCCCTTAACAATTGGCTTGATGCTGCGCTGTTGTATGGCCGAAGGTTTTTCAAAGCCTACATGGATTACATATTATTACCAACGAGATCTTCATGATGCATACACACACAAGCACTCACCGTACGCGTAAATGCCGCGTAGCAGCTCCTCCTTGAGGTTCATAGCATTGAAGGTGGGTATCACCTCAACGTCTTCGCTAGTCTCAAACTCCACGTTCGAGAGATCCTCGGCCTGTGCATTCTTGCGCGCCATTTTTAACTTGTGCTTGACTTAAGAATTCACAATAATAGTTTTACCAAGAGCAACGCGAATTTTCTAAATATTTTTTCTATAACTTTCATGCGGCTTGGGGATGGAAAATTGAAACAACCTCAACTATCGATAGCGAAGCGTCGATATATCGATAGCGGTTGAAATCAATACTTCTAGAGTTGTCAATAAGATGGTGGGAATTTATTTCAATTTGAAAAGGCCGCGCTTTTCATTGCGAGCTTAATTTGTTCAATTTAATTTTTGACGCGACTTTGTGCTAATATTTGTGAATTCGCTTTGTGTCTAACACATCAGTAAAAACTCTTATCTGCATTTATATTACTCGTATAAATGTAAAGAAAATATATGAACACAATTTATTTTAAACGTGCATGATTAAACGGAATATAAAAATATCACATCTTGATAAATCGGCTGAAAACCCGTTTAAATGATTTAAGGTCGTTTCTTTTTAGTTTTTTTATCTTCTTAAATATATTTCGTACGTTTTCTATGCGCTGTTTGGCCTCTTCGGCCGCATTCTCTGCCTTCTTGGCGATTTCTTCGGTCCGATCAAGATCAGCTCTGGCTTTTTGCATGCAAAGGTTCAAGTCTTCAACCCGCTTTTTGCTGTCTATTATCAGCATTTGCTTTTCCTGTAGCTCTGTGTTGGCATTGGCTGCAACTTCCAGAACCTGCTCTAAATTATTTCTTGCCTCTTCCAGGATGTTCTGCATTAGCTCCAGATGCTGTTTGATGTGCTGGGCCACGCGCAAAGCCGTCTCAATGTTGGATTTGCTATGTCCTAGCGCCTTTTTGACCTCCTCTACGACAGCATCGGCTTCGATCTGACTCTGTTCCAGCTGTTCGAGCAACTGCTTCTTGCCATTCAGTGCAGCCTCAGCCGCTCGAGCGGCCTGTTCAGCCTTGTCGGCCAAGCGATTCATGGCTCGCCGGCTGGCCTCCTCGCTGGCGCAGTTTTGTGCATCCTTGGCCGCCGTAGCCTCATTAGCTGCATTCGAGGCAATTTTTGTGGATTTCAAGTTAATCTTGCAGTATTCCGGATCGCCGCCCTGCTTATGACATTTATTCATATGGTGAGACGCTTTGCGATTGCACGCGGGCTGTACTCCGATCACCAGTACGATGCTCATTGTGAAGATCAACACCAGGGGCTCGCAACGCATTGGAAATTTGGCATCTTACAAAATTCTCCAAGCTCAGCTGTCAGCATTGATTATTTGAACACAATATATTCTCAACTGTGATCAGAAAAGGCATCTGAAACTGTACAGAATGACTGCTAAGGCTGCACTGCTTCTATTCCTGTTGCTCTTCCCTCTGCCCTGGACCCACGCCTTTGGCTACAAGACGGGTAAGGTAAGTGGTTGACAAATACTTTCGATGCCGTTGACAATATGGTACATGAATGCATTTCAGTCCCAGAAGCGATCTATAGGTTTATCCAGCTTACATTACGATGATGGGCAAAATGAGGGCATGGAAGATTGTAAGAAGGAGGGTGGAGATGGTTCCAATGTACAAGTGCCCATTAAGTCGGTGCCACGACAAAAGGCCTCCTGCATTGCCATGAAGGCAGCACAAGAAGCGAAAGCTGCATCCGATGCTCAGCTGCCGGCCGCGGAAAATGCTGCTCACCAGGTTAAGATGCAGCTGGCAGACAAGGCGCTGGCCGCAGCAAATGCCGCAGAGGCTGCCCTGGCGGGCAAAAAGCAAATCGTTGATCAACTGGAATCGGAGGTGCGTGAAGGTGAGCTCGTCGTCCAGGAAGAGTCCGGCTCCCTGCAAGCATCGCAGGGCAACTGCAACGCAGCCACACAGGCGGCAAGGCAGGCTGGCTTACAGGTGAAGTCCTTAAGCGATGCCGTCAAGAACGCCCAGGCCAATGTGCTAAACTCGGAACAGGCGGCCAACGGTGCCCAGCAGGAGCTCATCGAGAAACAGCAGCTAGTCGAGGCCGCCAAAAAGCGCGTTGAGCTGCTCCTCCGTCAGCTCGACGGAGCACGAACCGATTTCAGGAATACCCAAAAGGCGGCCGAGCGTGCCGCGGGCGCCGCCCAGGAAGCCAAACAGCGCGCCTCCCGGGAACGCCGCATGGCCGAAATACGCTTCAAGCTGCATCAGCATATGCATCAGTAAATACAATCATATTCAAAGTACTGCTTTTTTATTTTTCAATAAATTTATTTTTATCTGTTTGCTCAATATATCTCTTTGTTGAGCTGCTCTTTAAGTAAATAAGATGGATAAGCCGCGCAAGAATCAAGAATTTTTTAATAGAAGTATTCAAGTAATATCTAAATATATGTCCTGACTGACTGACTGACTATTTCGTGATCAACACAAAAGCTAGGTCGGACTCGGCTATTGATGCTGATCAAGAATTTATATAGTTTATGGGGTCGGAGATGCTTCCTTCTGCTGCCTGTAACATACATTTCGCCAAATGGTTTATAAATATTTTACCCTATTTTAATGGGTTCAGGGTATAAATTGCGTAATAAAAATAATATAAATAAAAAAGTCAAGCGAATATTTTATCGCAGCCTTGTCTGGGCTTAGCTTTAAGATAAAACATTAAACATCACTTCCATGCATTTTCCGCACTTTTAATCGAATTTAAAACTGAGCGGCTAGTTAAGAATATTGTTTCATACAATTGTATTCCACCAATTTTCCACAATTGTGGGTGAAACCTTACCCAAAATTTAAGCTTCTACTTCTTCTTTGTTGATGACCAATCAGCTAGAGTCTGGCCAGGGATAGAGTACTGGTGCTTGTCATGCTCCCACAATCGCCTGCACAATTGCCTGCTTCCAGTGAGTCCACCGAATGCGACAGATTATCGGACGCATTTGGCAAGAGTTCCAGGCTGAGAGCGTGTGTATTGTAGCAGAGGATCAGCTTGGTCTTCAGGCCCTCGAAAATGCTTACCACACTTGGCTTGAGATTAAAGAAGATTATTTTTTGCTGACGCTGTTGAAAATCTTCCACCATGGAGGAGATTACTTTGGCGGCTGTGAAGTCGGCTGCAAAAATATATGTACAGTCGATGACAATGGGCAGCGTTGTCTTGCTGCCGGACTTGAGCACCATGTTCCTAACGAACTCCACTGAGGGAAATATTAGGCAACGATCTGGCGTGATCTTTATAAACTTAATGCCATGCTCCGTCTCCAGCTGCTCCAGCGTTATCCTGGGCCGTGCCGCGTGGTAAAGTATAAAGAGCTGATTAGCTCCAATAGCCACAACGATGCCTATCTCTAGGGGAAGCACCAGGCAGGTGATGAACGCCAGCAGACCAGGCACAAGATCAGCGCCTGTAAATGCGGATAATCTAAATAAAAGCTTGGTGGCGCTCAAGCTATCAACTTACGTTTGCTGCGCCACATGGGCACCACGATCTGGTACTGCACCTGGAAGACCACGGCCGATATGATGATGGCAGCCAGCACAGCCTTCGGAATAAAGTAAAAGTACTCGGTGAGGTAACTTATCGAGAGCACCACGATGATGCCAATATATAGATTGGACATATTGGTGCGACAGCCGCTGGCATTGTTGACGGCGGAACGGGCCAGGCCGCCGTTGCTGCGATAGCCGCTCACCAGGGAGGTGGCGACGTTGGCCACGCCGGTGGCAAACAGTTCCTGGCTGACATCGATCTGCTTGTCCTTGGCAAACGCCTTGCAGACGGACACGTTCTCTAGCAGCGCTATGATCGGCACTATAACCAGGCCATAGCCCAGGCTGTGCACCATTTCGAGGAAGGTTTCGCCGGGAGCAGCGGGTATGCCAGCTGTGGCATTGCCCGGCTGCGCCTCGATCGTAAAATTTGGCAACGACACTGTGGGCAGACCAGGTGGTATGTAGCCTGTCAGCCGGAACGGATTCATGTTGTTTGCCTCCAGATGCATGGCCACCCAGGTGGCGCCAATGACAACAGTCGCATTGCGGGTAACGCCGACAAACTTGATCACCTCGTTGAGCACGCGCTGCAGCTGACTCCGCTCGGACTTTTCCTTGGGGCCTATGCGTAGTTGGCTTAGGCTGCGAATGGCCAGCAACAGCACCAGGCAGCCAAAGCCCAGGCAGCTGTCCCAAATGCGCAAGTGTTCAATGTCGCGCAACATGCTGATCCAGCTCTGTAGAAACGAGCCACCCTCACCGTTCACACCCAAAATGTACTTCATCTGCGAGGTGAGCACAATCAGCGATACGGCACTGGTGAAGCCCGCGCTCACCGGGCCCGAGACAAACTCCACTAGACAGCCCAGCTTAAAGATGGCCATAAGGATCTCTATGATGCCGGTGAGAAAAGTAAGCAGCACTGAATGTGCCCAGGAGCCGTGGGCGAACTGATATGTCATCAGCGAGGCGACGGCGGTGCTTCCAATGGTGTTATCCTTGCAGGTGCCCAACAGAACGTACACAAAACAGCCCAAGAACGAGCCATAGAGACCCGACTCTGCGGGCAGGCCCACCACGCCCGAGTAGGCCAAGCCCTGAGGTATGACCGTGAGCCCAACAGTAAATCCGGCTATAAGATCACCGATGGCATCGTTCCTGTTGTACTTGGGCAGCCATTCAATAATGGGCAGGCGCTTCTTCAGCGTCTTCATGCGACACGCACTCCTCGCATAGCTCATGCAGCACGAGGCTATTGTTTCATTGTCCTGCTTGACCGCCTCCAGTTGCTCGAGACTCTTGTACTTGGAGGTGCGATGATCTTGAATCAGTATGAAGTCCGTGGAGGAACTACGAAACTGCGCCTCCAGCTCCTGACTCACTTCCGCGCGCTTACGAAACGTCACCTCCGTCTCAAGTGTGGACATTGTGTATTTGCCTTTGCCTAGATCCGGTATCTCTTGCTGTTAGCTTCGCCGTGCGGCAACTAACTGAGAGCTAGCGCCGGATGCTGTGCGGGAGACAAGCAATCTTATCGAAGCTGCCAATGTTTGTCCAGTCGAAATATGTGGAAACGGGACGCCGGTTGTTTGTTTCGGCCACACGACTTGCTGTTGACTACGCGACACTCTTGTTTGGCCTGGCATTGTTGGCCCTGTCAACTGGCACAGCTGTCCCCGTCGCTTTAAAATTTTTCCATTTATCAAATTGAGACGGTTTTCAACGACAAATTGGGCGCGCAAATTATCACGTATTATCTATTATTTCTTGGAGCAATATTTACATTAATCGGAAGCAGCGAAATCTCGAACGATTTCGGAAACTAAATACGCATTTGACATAATTTTTGTAAATTTTTTTTTTTTGTATTTTTTATTTATTTTTTTTTTTTTTTGGTTTATTTAATTTTAAAATTTTTACATGATTTTTAAAAATTGTATTTTAAAAGCATCGCATTAGATCATATAAAGCATGATATATCATTACAATATACAATTGTATCCATTTGTTTATATGCGTAGTTAAACATAGGTTGTAATATTATGTTTAAGCAATTTTATAATTCAATAGCAGTAAATTGTTTCAGAGACCATGGCTATATGTATATGTATCATATGTGAATATGAATATATATATATTTATTTATATATATGTATATATAAGTATTATATATGTATGTGTATGCATGTAAATATAAGCTCAAGCACTTTCCATGTGCACTCTCTTCTTTTAAAACTAAACGTAGTTAAACAAATTAAAATTTGAATTTAACCGAATATAAAAACAACAACAAAAAGTAGTTTTAAAATTACAATTTTTGCAAAAAGTGCGCGTGTGAAGCGGCAGCGTAAAATTTGACAAATCCAAATTCAAAATTGACAATTGCTTAAGGAAAATATTTTTTGTTAAGGTGACAACGCGATAATTCGATTTGGTAATTGTAAATTTTAACAATGTCAATTTCTAGATAAAATTAATTTCAAGTTGTTTGTGTGTGTAGATGTACATATATATATGTGTGTGTGTATGTGTGTGTTTGACAACAAACAATCGCATTACTCAAATAACAAACAAATGATTAGGTATATATGCAGATAAACGAACACAAGGCCCATATCTGGCCAAAAAATAAAAATAATAATAATTATAATTAAATTATATAGAACGCAACAAACATTGAAACAAAAGAATTGAGCGACCAGCAAGTGGCACAACTTTTGTAAAACAACAACAACAAGTATGATATATATATTAGCTATATGTAGTTCATATAAGCACGTATATCAAGTATATGATGGGCATTTGCCCGGCGATGCCAAAAGGTTCCGGTGCCTACGGCCAAGCACCAATGGTATAGTTCCTGGTCAGATGACCCATGCGACGCTGGCGACCGACTGCAAAAATATAGTTGAAAATATATGTACATTTGGTAAAATGCAATTGATTCAGAGAGATTAAGAGACGTAACACCAACAGCGGATTAGAAAAGTGGTTAAAAATATATATTTAAAAATAAAACGAAGCATGACGCACGATACATTTGCACTTGCAGCTGATATCAAGTGTCAACATTGAGTTTATATTAATTGAATATGTTGCTTAAGATTGACTTAAGGCCAGCCAAGCTGTGACATAAATATTTGCTAAGCTACTTATGGGCTATGCACGCGTTAGAATTGACGCCCTCGGCACTAGACTAACTTAAAGATACATATGCGATATACTATTGTATATCTATCAGATACTTTACGTACTGCTTGTTAACATCATTCTTCGGTGTTAGTTTTGCGGCTGGTTGTTGGGTGTGGGTCGTTTGGGTGGTATTGTGCTTGTTGTTGTTGTTGTTGTTGTTGCGGTTACACAGAGGACGGTGTTTAACAGTCAACAGGAGAGGAAAATCACAAGATGGTTGTTGTTGTTGTTGTTGTACTTGTTGTTGAGCTGAACACAAAGAATGCTTGTTGCTGTTGTTGTTGTACTTGTTTTTGTTGTAGTTGCATCAGCTGGTGGTGTTGTTGTTGTTGTTGGTGGTGCTGGTTCTTGTTAATTAGTACATAAGTAGTTGGACAATAAAAACAAAGACACACACACGCGCTCACACACAAACAAAGGCTGTTGTTGCTGTTGTTGGTTGGTTGGTTGGTTGGTTGGTTGGTTGTGGCATGTTTTTTCTTTTTATTTACGCTGATTGAGGCGATTCACACGTACTGTAAGACATAAAGAGAAAGATAGAAGAAAGATTGGGGAGAGAGAAGAGACAAATACAATGTGATTAGTCAAATTGTAACAATAAACAAAGGATATTATTATTATTTTTGGGTGGGTTAATCAAAATATACAACAAATTGTCAAATATTCAATCAATCAATCAATCAATCATTTGGATACAACATTCAAGGCTAGGCGTAAAGTACGCCTATTGAGCATATTTTTGTTTAGTAGTCGGCATAAAGAACTGCTCGCAAGTCAAGAAAAGTTTGAGCAACGTCTCTTAAGAACTAGTTTTATTTTTAGGTCTGGTTTAAGCAAAACTTGCAGCTGCGGTGGGATATTAATTAGTTGGGCTTATGTTAATGTCGCTTATGTTAACGCTTTTGTCAATTGTATTTTATAATTATTGTTTATTTTTTTGGTTTTTGTGACACAAACAACAACGAGCTGAGTAAAAATTTTGTAGGTACCAACTGTTCGATATGGTGTAATGCTAGGTACTTGTTTGGCTTTGTTGTTATGGTTGTTCTGGTTGTTGTTGTTGTTCATGTGCTGCTGCTTTTGTTGTTGTCGAGTTTGTTGAATTATAAAAAGAGCATAAACATTTGGATGTTCGGCATTTAATGTAGCAGTTCTTGCGAATTTATTATGATTTTCATTTGATTTTAATATTTATTTACTTTTTATTGCAGTTATTCGTGGTTGCTGTTGATTTTTTTTATTGGTGTTTAAATTTTTAGTTTTACTTAAAGATTGTACATCGCAGTTTAATTCCTATACGAAGAGAAGTTTATTAGTGCTCTGTAAATTTGACAGCAACTTCTGAATGTGTTTAGTAAAAGCAGATGGTTGGGGATGAGTTTTAGGGTGTGATGCCTGTGTGGGTCAGGTGTGAGTGTGGCATGCAACACAGGTGAGCGGCAACATGCAATGGATAGGTTATAACTTGATTATACTATAATTTATGCTATGATGCATTTAACAATAACTGAACAAACAATGCTTTTGGGTAGTAGAAAAAGATCAGTAGTACGCTAAACAGTCTTGAGTTATGATTATTTTTTGAAGGCCAATTTCGACTACATAATATATTTTGGACTATATATATATATGCATATACTATATGTATATATGCGGCATCATTCAATTTGAGAATGCTTTTTGGTGTTAGGCGTTTTGTTCGCAACGCTTGCATATATGAATTATAAAAAAAAGAAACGTTTTACGTAGAATTCGTGTTCATAGATACCTGTGTTAGAGATTAGACAAAATTATACACATTACGCCTAAAGATTTTTTGCTGGGGTTAGATGCCTTGACTTTTGTCGTAAATCAGTTTCAAATATATCTTCTCTTTATATATGCTTGTATCGTAGATATGTATACATATGTATTTACATATTTTTATGTATCTCTGGTTCGTTCTGCGCATTATAAGTATGTGTATATGTATGTGTATATATATATGTATATATTTATTATTTACTTCTTGGTCTCTCTAACGTATTTAGTTGCCAGCATTGCAGCTGTTGCTTCTTTCTTTAGTTTTTTTTTATTTTTTATATATTGTTTACACGTTTAATTTACATAGATTAAACTTGTTTGTTTTTTTTATACGGTTTTTTAATTTTTAAATTACAAAACGCTTTAAAAATGTTTAGTGTAGTTGTTTTTTGATTTATGTTTTTTATTTTTCTTTTATATGGGGTTTTATTGAATTCTTGTTGATTTTCTATGAAGATTATTGAAAAATCTGAACTGCAGGCGTAATTCAAGATCTTTTCTTACTGTAAACGAGAAACAGAAAGAGATAGAGAGTGAAAAAGTACACACACAAAAAAACATTAGACGAAACACATATAAGAAATAATGTAAAGCGTATTGTTGAGTCGAGAAACTTGACTTTTGACTGGGAGAACTGTCCGTCTGTCACATGTCGACAGGGGGAAGAGAACAGACTGAGTTGGGAATAAAACAAGATACAAAAACTGGTGGTCTGCCCTTAGAGAAGTTTTTTGGGGGGCATTTCGGGTTGTTAGTAGCGCACAGCTAATGCTGATGGATGGGCGTGTCCCAGTTATATACAAAATGAAGCAAAATGCATGAGCAGAGCTGCTGATAACGACGACAACAATCAGGTATGGATAGAATTACATTTGTATTTTGTTTCGAGCTGTGTTTTATATACACGTTCTTGGTCTGCAAGATTTTTAGAGTTGTATCTGGTAATGGACAGTACGAGCTTTACTGTACACCACGGCCAAAACACAAAATTGTTGGTGGAGTAAGAGGCAACAACAACAACGTTACTACGAATCGAGGTGAGGCGAGGTGAGAGCACGAGAACTGATCGAGTGGCGGCTGTCTGACTGTCTGTACATTGAGGCTGTGTTTTTTGGGCGTACTCCGCTCCTGTGTGCATGGTGGTGTTTTCTGTTGGGTGGTGCTTGGTGGTTGGTGGCTTCACTCACGTGTGCGCTTGATAGACGCCCTCGTCATCATAGTTGGGTGTCACCGCCCGACTGCCGGGCACCACCATGTTATCGGGATCGATCTCTGGATCGAAGGCATCGCCGCCGCCGCCGCGTATAACCATATTATCGGGATCGACCTCCACATCATAGTCGGCCGGCGGCTGTGGCGACGGTGAGGGCGATGGTGACGGCGAGGGCGTGGCCGAGTGGGCCAGATCACGTTCAATCTCCATGTTGCTGGGCAATATCAATTTGGGCAAATTGGGTTTCAGTTTTTGCACCCGGAAGACTGAAGATCGTTTGGAAATTTGTTGTTGTTGTTGGTTGATTGGTTGGTTGGTTTGTTGGTTGATTGGTGGCGTTTGTTTAATATACACAAAGGACAAGTCGAGTTGAGGGATACAGTTTGATAATTTTGGGATTTAAATATACATAACAGATAATTGGTTAATAATGCTTTAAATCGTATCGTAGTGTAGACAAATTGTCAAACATTCTATGGTATATACAAGACACAAGGATTGCTCAACGGCACTAACGAGGAACGAGAGACAATACGAAGGAATTTCTAAAAGGGAGCACTGTACACACAAACGAGTCGAAGTAGCATTATGTGTATGTGAAGAATGACATTGAATTTCATAAATATGGCTTAGAATGTAATACTGACTTAGCAAATTGATAAACTAAAATATAATTTAATCATATATATTAATTTAGACAAAAGATGAGCGGCTGCTGTCGATGAGTTTTGATCAAATGAGTGAGCGAATGTGATCTTAAATAAGCTCCACTTAGGTATATATATGTTTATGAATCTAAATGTAGGCCACGTAGGGACGCAACAAGTAACGCAACATAACGCAACGTAACGAGAGGTGATAACGAGAACGTGAACGTGAACGCAACGAACGTTGTATGGTGAGAAATGTGCTGAAATGTTAGGCTAAACGACTGGACTAAATAAATAGATGCTAAGACGTCGGCCGGGGTCACGAAACGATAACTTATTACCTGGTTACCCACAAGAGAGAAACAGAGAGGGGGATAAAAGTAAATCAACTACTTTTTGGTTACCAACGCGTTTTGGGGGCTAGAAAGGATATCCAAGCTTAGATTTCCTTTTCATTCTCAGTGCGCAAGAGGCCTAAGGCAGCTGACGATGTGGAGGCTTCCGCTGCGACTCCAGTTGTGGCTGCTGCTGAGTTCGACTGCAGATTGCGCGCAATGCGCCCTGATGGCAAAACATGATCAGAATCTTTTGCATTAGTCCAAGTTCGGGCCTTGACAAACTGCTCGAAAGCAGCCAAGCTTTTGGCCTTTGAGTGTGAGATGGCTGCTGATGAGCTAGATGCAGATGCAGATGCTGATGCTGATGCTGATGCGGATGGGGATGACGGTGGCGAAGCGTCGGCGCGGAAAGCTAACGTACCTTGTTGCAATTCACCTAAACGCGAGAGTGTGGTACACACGAGTTGCTCATGAATAAAGACCTATATATACATAAGTTGCTTATCTATATATTCAAAGGGATCGCGAGCCTATCGAGCGAAGTGGCAAACGTAGAACCAACGCTGACAACCTGCAAATATTGTGTGGGGACAAGCCGCAGCCAATGGCAACGGCCAACTTACTTCTGTCGATGTTGCGCTGCAGATGGGCGGCCACGCGATGACGCGCATCGTTGAACTCCAGATGCAAGCCAAGTCGCAGAAGCGACGAGTTCTTCTCCACCAAGTTGGTGATCTCCATTTCAATCTTGTTGCCAAGCACCGCAGATCGCTGTGAACAAGTTATTGAGCGAATTTAGCTAATGCCTAAAACAATATTCAGTAATATATGTATATGCTACTCACTTGATTGGAGGCCCTGAACTCCTCGATGGTGCGACATTTGAGCAGGGCTTGCACGAGCCTAACAATTACGGGCGGACTGATAAAGTTGGTTTCAACATTTAATACTCTCAGGGTTTTGCTTTTCTCGATCGCTTCGGCGAGCAGGAGAGCTGTCTTATCGGTCAGGCCGACGTTTGTCAGCGATAGAACTTCCAAATGTTCATTCTGAGGCAGTGCGGCAAAGAGTTGTTCGAGCTTCTCATCCGATATATTCTGCAGACATATTTCCAATTAGTCCATATCTCTTTAGTTTTAAAGGTCTTGAGTACATACCTTAATGTTATTCAAGTTCAGGTCAATCAGCTTGGAATCATCATCCTTGACGCGCTTAATCGACTCCTCAACATCTGTGCTGTTGGGCGGATCCATGGGGAACAGCTTTTGCTGTGTGGACTTTGTGATGCCATCCCAGCCCAAGCCAACCGGCTGTCCCTTGTTCAGCAGCGAGGCATGGTACTGATCCTGATTCATCATCGAGTGGAAGCCAAGAATGGCAGCCAAATCAATAATCTCCTCCTGCGTGGCATCATTGAGCGCATGCTCATACTCCTCGCCCATGTCAATTGCGATCTGTTCCTCTGCCTCAATATCACGGGCATCACGCGGCGGTGGCACCCATTTCTTACCGCGCACCTTGCCCTGCACATAGGGCTCGAACTCCGGCTGATCGGGCGTCTCAATTGCCTGCTTGTTAATATGCTCGATGAGCTGTTTGCGATTCAGCGGCCCGGTGGCATCCTTGGTGCACTCGTAGCTGCAGCGCTGATCTGGCGGCAGGAAGTTGTCCTACGAGTGCCAAGAGTAAATAAAGCTGGACTTATATGTGTATGCTAATATTAATGAATACTCACATCGGGATCAACTTCTTTGGCCAGTATGGTTATCTCCTCGGGTGACAACTGCGCCAACAAGCTCTCCACGTCCACATCATCGTATTCGCTCAAATCCTTGCCGTACAGCTTGGCCGGCGTGGTGAGTGTTGTTGTCTTTGTGGTGGACGAAGTCTGCAAATGGCGAAAAATAACTTTGGATCAGTGGACTTCTAATACTCCAATCGGCGTTCGTTGCCCACATTCTTCAGCAGCTTCAGGCTAGCTGGCGGCTGTGGCGCACGCCGCTTGACCCTGGGCACGGGTCGCAGCTTGATCTTCTGGAACTCAGCGATGGGCACAGCGCTCTCCATGGCGTGTCAGCGTCTTATGACACTTATTAAAAATCAATAAATGGCAAACCACAGCAAAAAATAAAAAGAAACTTAAAATAACACAATGGCAAATCCAATTATGCAGCTATAAAGCGGCGACTGAATGTGGTTGGCTGTGTCTGGGGCTGGGGCTCAGCAGCGACTGACGCGCTCAAGACACCAAATTAAAGTGCAGACCAGGCCGAGACAGAAACAGCAGCAGCAACAACAGCAACAACGAGAGTCGCAACAGCCGTGCAACATTTGGTTGACGCGCGGTTTGAGCCAAAAGCTGCAATCGCAACTGCCACTCAGTCAGTTGAGCAGTCAGTTAGTCAGACAGTGAGCCAGTGAGTCAGTGAGTCTCGCTTCGAGTTGGCGTAATCGACAGTCGCTGGCAATGTAAATTAGGCGCATACATTAAAAGCTGCAGCAGGGCCAGCGGGGGCAACAGAGTGTGGCACGCTGTCTGCACTTAAATGACTTCCACTCCAGTGCGATGTGCCGAGCATGAAATCGAAGCTGAAAAAGCCCAAGCCCAAGCCCAAGCCCAAGCCCAAGCTACGATTGGGTTGCGAGGGGGGCCATAAATAAACAAAAGTAAAGCAGGCAAAAGTTGAAGCCCCAGCGATTGATTTGCAGTGGGAAAACATTGTGCAGGGTTTTCTTATTGTCTGAGATTTATAGCCAGGCATTAATGAGGCAATTGGAAATAAAAATAAAATGCAAAACATGGCCGAATAAATAAAGCGAACCATTTGTGTAGCTGCTAACCTGGCCAATACAATAAATAATACATAAAATAATTGTACAGCACGCCGGCTGGCCTGAAAGTTCTATCAAAGCGTGACCCAAACAAACAAACAGACCAACTGAACCGAACCGAACCCAAGTGAACCCAACAACAGCAGACAAAAGCCAAATCAAAAGACGCCTCAGAAACTGGTTCCAGAGGGCAACTGCGACCAAATGACGAGTGCTCCAGGAAGCGAGACTAACCACATAAACCACTTTTCGTACTTTGCTGCAACTTCAGTGCGCCATTTAAGTGAAACCGGTTTCACTATAATGAAAACAAGTAACAGCTCTTCGCTCGTAGAGTGAACGTTTTCTTGGTACCCTGTAAAGGGTTCTCAAAACACGTCACATATATATCTACTACTAATTCAACCAAAAGCGTCTAAACTAAGTAAACTGAGTAAAAGGTGTATTTTACACAAATCTATTGTTTCTCTGTGAACAGAGCTCCAAATCAAACCAAATATGAACCAAATTAACCCTGCTTCAAAGTATAAAAAACTTTGGCTTAAACATTGCATTGATCTAAGAATATTTGGTATATATGACATGTTGTGTAGAGCCCAAATTTAAGGAGCTATTTTTAGTGGTATGTGTAATTATTAAATAACAAATAGGATTGTTTCATTCTGGTTTCAGGCATGTAAAACCAGGTTCACAAACAGAACTCAAGGGCAGGGAGTTGGATCGAGTCATCAAGTGAACCATCAACAATATCTTTTGTTATACAATCTTTTATACTATAAAATAATAATGCAAAGACAGGAGTTTTCTAGACTGTCTGCTTATAATATAGAAGAATATTGCTCACAATACCTTTGAGATACATATTGGATGCTGTAAATCGAAATTTCTGGATTTGAGGAAGTTTGCGAGAAACTATCGATAAAAATATAAACTTTTTGTTTGCATAAGAAAGACGAGAACCTATATTGGAAAAACCTCAGTACCTAGTTCTATACATTTGCACAACATTAGCATACCTTTGTACAAATTGTCAATGAGTACAGGGTATATCAATAGCAACAACTCTATAAAAACTGTACGACAACTTCGAATACTCGCTCCTCGCCTCCACCATCTCGCGGGCTAGCGAAAACCGCCCGTAAATGGCCATGTTCAAATGTAAGTATATGTGTCCAAGTTTGGCCAAAAGCTTTGCAGATGCTGCGTCCAGATAGAGAGATATGAGGTACAGCTAAATGCTGTCGATTGACCCACTTTAAAGTGAGCGGCATGCATGGAAGCGGCAACAGGGCAGCCGACAGTCGGTGCTATTATGTCAGGCTGGCTCAGTGGCCGTATCTAACGGCTGGCAGAGAACAGAAGCGTGTTGACATTTCAATTGGGGGCAAACTTGGATTAATTGAAATAAACAGTTTCATTGCGATGAGGCTGCCACATGCCACATCAATGACGCAGTAAATGCCACGAATTGTGAATGGTCTCCAATTGCGGCGCCTTGAATGTGCCTTCCATTAACTTTAACTTGAAGCTAGGCGTTAAGTCAGGTAGCTATCGCAACTGCCACTGCGTACCACGCACAGCAGTAAAATCACATTAAAAAAGTAGAATTACAAAAATAATTGAGTTCATGGCACTCCCGAGACTCGTGCGCAGCAATAGGAGCTGCTAATAAATTAGATCTGAAAACAGGCATAGAAAAATAGAAGTGCAAATGAGCAAAACAAATGTTAAATTAAAGCAGTGGAGTTTTTTTTTACACCCAAAAGATACTTTTAATGCAAACTATTCAAAAACAGACGTCCCTGATGCGGGTTCATGTCTTGGGCACATAGTATATCCACTTACTCGGGTGAAATATGGGCGGAAATTTATATTATGTAAATTTGTTTCATGCTTTTAGTTTTACTTCACATTCATTGTGGTTCAAGGTTAAATGAGCAACAGCTTAATTTTTAGAAAGATTGTTTTCAAGCGCTTTTTCAAGGCTTTATGCGCAATTCAAGTCAATTGGGTGGAAAACAAATACCAGGCTAGGCCAGGTAATTCGAGCATAAGCTAAAATTGAGAGACTGGCAACATTTCAGCGCTTAATAGTTGCACTAACTACTATTTATAAGACACACTTGTATTTACTTCGGGCTATAGCTTAGTTAACTAACACTGTTTTAAGCGTAACGGCATCTAGTTTAAGCGGGGCATGAAGACGCGCGCCCACCATGCAAATGCACCGTAAGGAGCATAAATAAGGTGGCGCAACGAGATGTTCGTGTGCGTATATATTTTATCTGAGAGTTGTCAACGTGTTACATCGACAATTCGCGAGGTATTTAACGGATTGGCTTAGCTCATTAATTGCAACGGGGCCTTGAAACGGGAGCAGGCACTTTGAGACATGTTTAACCAGACGACCCACAGAATGTGGCGTATAACAAAAATCAAAACATGTCTAATGCTGTTTTCGGTGATTTGCACATTTGCTGTGGCTGACAGATGAATGTGCTACTGCTGCTGCTGCTGCTGGTGGTGGCCAGTGACTGGCAAGTGGGTCAAGGTGCTTAGCTGATTTAATTAAGCGGCACCAACAGCCTGCGACTCGTTGTAAAGATCACGTTTTTTCGAGCGGAAAACTAAGAAAAAAAAAGAGCACAAAATTCATGAAACGCAAAATGCTCGGAAAAACGTCATTCCGCTTCGGGCCGCAGGTGAAAAGTTGGTCAGGCCGCAGCAGCCGCTAATGACTAATGGCTGGAAATGTGCGAACCCGCCCAAATATTGCAAAGTAGGAAGTACGCTGTGACGCTGAGGATGCGCTACCAGGAAATTGTGGCACTTAAGCAAATCACGTTGGGAAATACCAAAAAATCTTAATTATCTCGCGCAGCGCTGACGACCCGCTGTTTGCTTAGGATTTATGGCCAGAAAGCGCTCTTCAAATTAGCATGAAGGAAATTGCAGGAGCGAAAGGTGTTACTGCGCGTATGTGTGTGTTTGTGTGTGGAAATGGATTATCACGGTTGAGATTTATATGGAATGCAGGCAATAGAAAAGGTCTTGCACACAGACGATTATTTCTCAGCAGCTGCATCTGAAGCAAACTATGCAAAGCTGTTGCTACTTCAATTTTAAGTTATGCATATAATAAATAAATTATATTTCACCTTAGAGTAGCTCAGAGCTTTAGCCTGATGCAGTTTCAGGCTGTTGTCAAATGCAGCACAATCTATTCTAGTGCTGTCAACGCTGAGCAGCATTTTTGTGGTTTCTTTCTATGTGCTTCTGGTCTCTAGCCCAGCTGTAACCACTGTAACCACAAATCACATATTCAGTGAACAGCAATATGCTTTTATAGCTTGGCAATATTTTATGCAATTTGCATGCCAGCAATAAACCCAGAAGGCACGCTCCATTGCTGCAGCAGACAGCAGACAGTGGCATCCACAGCTTACAGCAGCTTCCATGACAAAGAAAAAGAAGTTGACAGAGAGTGAAAAATTGAATAAAAAGTAGAACTTGGCCCTGGAACTGGCTGGTAAGTTGATACCACATTGGTCACTCCAAAGCAGCCCAGTCGACCGTTGAGTGTCGAGTCCGGAGCTGGTGCTGAAAACTGAGACGCCGATAGTTCCGTTTCAGTGCATTCGCATCCGATGGTTTGCCGCCTGATTGGGCACGCACAGCACAAACGCTGCTGAGATCTTGGCCACTCGGCATTAGCATTGACATTGCACTGAAGTGGCAAATTAACAACGGCCGAAAGCAGCTAACGACATTACAGACACTTGTGCACAGTCCCCCCCGCAAGCCGAGAGACTGGGCCAAAACTTTCCTCGACTGCGGTTCGATTTGTGACAAAGCATTTGCACAGCTGTTGGCCAAGCAAAAACAAAAGCGAAACATAAAAGAAACTTGTCTTTGCTCTGACGAATATTGAATACTCTTGCGGATAAATAATAGATGGAATTTATAATAGACCGATGTTAGCCACACTTTTATATAACCCGAATTTCGTACTCACACGAAAGCATTAGTTCAATTGTTGTAAGCGCAATCAAAGTC